GCACTGTGCTCGTAATGATTGACATCACAACCACTACTCTTATCGAAAAATTATCTTTTAATATTGAGAAACAAAAATATCCGCAAGAGCAGAAAATCAAGTGTCATCCCATGCTGCAAGAAAGCAAAATAAGGCGTCGACGCGAATGTGTTGATTATCTTGTTGTAAGCTACTACTATATTTGTTTTATTCGACAGTTTTAAGCGGCCCGATGTCAAATATTACACAGTTTATCACTACTTCCACTTGACTCATTATCCTATCGATCACTCAGGTTTTCGGATTCGTGTGTGAGTCAGGCTGCCACGAGAATATATCGCCTATTGACTATTCATACAAATGTTAAATCTGTTTTCGAAACTATTTGCTAAATACCACCATAATGATGCTGACATGTTCGCACAACTTGTACCCTGGGCTAGATCGAACCACGATTTCCCTTTCCGGGGCTTGTGCATTACACACTCCACCACGGATGCTCTTGGTTGGCACTTCTCTCAGCTAATTTTCTAACTAACGCTGCCATTCTAACTAACGCTGCCATCAGCAACCACCCGTTAGCGAGATTGGTCTGGGGAACACAAATCGGCGTTGAACCCAGTTAAACCGAGGTCATACTAAAACTAACAACGTTAACTTTTTATCTGCTGCCTACTATAATTTTCACGGCAGGGTATGATGTGAAATAGAGCCATAACGATGTTGAGTGCTATTTGCAAAATTCTTCGGCCAAACCAAGCTGGTTTCTACAGTTGAACATATAACCTATTTTATGAATCACTCTTTTCTCTAGAAATGTCCATTAGCAATTTTTTGCAAAATAGCTCCAAATATGCGATTGCAATTAAAAAACAAAATTCTTTATTTTCTGATTGAGCAATGTGATTAACAATTCTTGAAAAGCCAATCTCGGTGCCTGGCTTTTTTATTAACACTGTTTTCGTACTCATGATTTTTTCTTTGGGAAATAGAGTATTAAAGGAAGAGCTCTCGGCTTTGATCAATCCCTGTGGGATGCGCCATGCAATCGACTTCATTAGGCATCGTTTGGAGGTATGCATATCTGGCCTTTACAATAACTGGCGGTGCCGTACCGATATATCGAGCCATTGCTGCTATTCTGCGAGACAAGTCCGGTACCGATTTACCGACCCAGTAGGGACGGAGAGGTTGGGGAGCCCGGAGCGCGTGTTGGAACCCATGTGTATTCTAGGGCGCCTCTAATCACTGCGCTACTTGGATACTTGGATGGCCCGTCTTCACTGGTTCTACGGACACTAGTATAATTTCCACTCCCTGGAGATTTGCTGGTTTAGCCACTGTGGTTCCCTAGAATCCCGAGGATAGCCTGGCCATAGACTGCCCCAGGTCGTCACCACCACAGGCAGTCGCAGCCTTTGTGGGTCGCAAAGAGATTTGCCACCATGTGACTTTGATACCAAAACGGTGGTGGGTCCTGGTATTGGTTTACTCTTAGCTAAACTTCCTGATAGAAACGCCGGACACCTTCTCAGTTTGGGAGACCCTGTCAAAGGACGAATCACTCGCTGCACATCACAGTCGGATACTCAGGAACACCTCCCAGGCACTGTGAGGCGGTAAACCATTGGGAGGCGCTACATGCGCCCTTATTTAGGAAATACTTTTCTAATCCATTGCCTTCAATGCAGTTGCTGGCTAACTATTTTGTATTACAAAATTCTTATCTTTATAATATTCTACAGTCTATAATCTAGTAATAATAATAACAATAGTAATAATAAGAAAAATAATAATATCACCTTGTAATAGTTCCCAGGAACGACTTTCTCTTAACCTCGGCATTGGAATATGAATGTGTCGTTTTCTTGTTCAGCAATCGCGAGGTTTTTAAACAGCATACATTTACTTCCACAGAAAAACAAAATACAATACAACGCTAGCTGACGTTTCGGCAGTATCGCCTTCTTCAGAGCCGCTTTTTCGTGACTTCCAATGAGGAAGTTTAGAACGGCTGATTATAGTCGCATATGGTTGACGACTCATTGGAAGTCACGAAAAAGCGGTGGGTTTTTCGAGAAGTTGTTGATCGTGTAATTACCAAAGAGTCTTTCGTCTTTTTGTAAGTGTTATTGAAGCGTTTGGCCTGGTTGATTGTATATCAGAATACCCTTCCAGGCTCTGAAGAAGGCGATACTGCCGAAACGTCAGCTGGTGTTGTATTGTATTTTGTTTTTCTGTGGAAGTAAATGTATGCTGTTTAAAAACCTCGCGATTGCTGAACAAGAAAACGACACAATAATATCACCCACAAAACCTACAGCAATAATAATGTAACCTAATATTAACAATGTCTAAAGTGTACGATATATATGTACTTATACAGATTTAAAATTCGGTTCTCTCTGGTTATTTTAAGGTCCTCATCTGTTCGCCAGAAGCCTGTCGGTCACCAAGTCCAAAACTGTCGCAGCTACCGGAAGTCGGAAGAAAAGGAATACCATAGTCATTTTTTTCATGTAATAATTGTTCATAATATTGAGTTCTACAGACTATTCAAGCGAGTTCATTCAAAATCCATTAACAAACAATATTAAACGATTTGTGAATTCTTTCGCTAAGACAGAAAGATTTTAGACTTTGAGGAAAACTTGACGTTTCGGCGGATTTCGCCTTCCTCAGAGCCTGGAAATGTCCATTTCGTCTATGGAAAAGCAATACTAATATACTAGTAATGAGCTCTTGTTAAGCTAAAAAATAAAGAACACAAATAGAAAAGGATAAAGCTCTCGGCGCTAATCAATCCCTGTGAGATGCGCCATGCAATCGACTTCATTACGCATCGTTTGGAGGTGACTGAATCCACATTTCGCCTTTACAATAACTAACGATGGTCTACCGATGTGTCGAGCCAGTGGTGCTATCCTGCTAGACGAATCTGGTACCAATTTGACGACCCCGGAGGGATGGAAGGCTTGATGGGCGTGGGGCGTGGGGCGCGGGAATCGATCCCATGTGTTTGTTGTAGGGCGCCTCCGACCACTGCGCCACACGCGCTCATCAGAATACAACTATATACATGCAAATAATTAAATACAGAAAACAATAATACTCATCTCATCGACTTCAAGAGAACCGCACAGAAAAATGACGCAGCAGAAAAAATGCACTCCAATAGTTCGATTTCAGTTCATTTCATAGTGCTGGAAAAACTGAATAAGTGGATGTGGAGATGAACTGCACATTTCAAGCAACAAGCACAACCTGAGCTGAAGTCCAGTGCGGTTCTGTTGCTTAGAAGTCCTTAATATTGGAATTCTCATCATTACAATGCTCACCTATTGTGAACTGCAGTTAAATCGAATGAAAACTGGTAGCTTTATAAAGGATAAAGGATTAAGCTCTCAGCGTTGGTGAATCCCAATTTCCCAAACCCAGTGGGGATGGAACCAATGTGTATTGTGGGGCGCCACAGACTACTGTGCTAAACACGTCCTTGGTAGGTTTGTAGTGAATTCGATGTGATCAATGGAATTCAGCATGTTAGCTCTTCTTCAAGTGATCAGTGGAAAAATCATTGGAATCCTTGTCGCACTGGATTGGATGAGCTCTGATTGGAAGATAACAAACGTCCCTCAGATCCAAAACGGTAGGCAAAATCTGTTTGTGAAGACGTGGGAACTGGTATCTCGGGACTTCATGGAAAACCCTACTTCACCAGGATATGAAAGAAAAAGTCTGCGAACCTACCAATACGCACAACCAATCTGTAGGTCATACCAGTAGGAGAACGTAAGGCAGAATAGATTTCACACTATCGATCTTGTATCTGTTCAAGTAGAAGACATTAATTTATTGACTAGTGCCGAAGTTAACAGAAAGTCGGAACTGAGAATGATCCAAGTAGTACTGCCAACAGCACGATTACCTAGCCACGTGAAAGCAAACCAAACAAAGAAACGTTGTGAACTATCGCTGAAATCAGTTTCCTACGGACCAGGAATGTTCCAGAAAGGACTGGGGTGCCAATCGATCGATTCTCTCCAGTTACGAAAAGATAGAAAGTACAAGAAGAACAAATCGTCAATGTCCATCGATAATTTCATTACTCGAAAACGAAAACAGCACATTCGAAGAGATGTCGAACTAAACGGTGCATTGATTTTTTATAAATAACGAGGTTCTGCTAACGTCAGCAAAAGCGGTCGGAAAATGTGCTATCGTCCCTATGGCTCTAATACAAAAACCCTTCCCAAAAATCAACCTTTATGTTTGCAAAAATTCTATATTCATAAAAATATAAGACGTAGATCCTGCCTAGTAGAATTTCCATGCTGTCCTATCACTTACGATTTCGCGCTCCAATCGATCACGAAAGTGTCGTGGATGCTCCGATTCTGATTTCCGTGGGGATTCCATTAAGGTCCCTGTCCTTGATTTCTACATATCTACATCGTTACTGAATTGTATAGATTATCTAAAAACTATTTAAGGATGTTTCAAAAGTTTGAATCTACCCAAAAACGATAGTCAAACCCTTAAAGTTATGATTTTGCTTGACGATTTTTGTTTTTGAACCGGTATTTTGTAACCACTGTAGTTTTCACAGTGGTTTTTTTTGTAACTCGCCCGAAATCAACTAGGAAGGGTTGGGAAGTGCCTTTCAGTACCCAAATTTACCCGAACATCGATTCGAAATAAATCTGAGCAGATCCACCCCCATTTGTTCATCTTTCTGAATCATCTCTGTTCAGGTCCATGCTTGGTAGGTTTTTTCGTCCTTCATTTCTTGCTGTCTGTCTTCCCAATGAGGCTTTTCCTCCTTCTCCTCATTCGTCTCGAATGCGTAGTTTGCTATGAAATGGTTGATGAACTCTATAATGATCTCAATCAGTCCTTTCGTAAAATCCATGAATTTCTAACCGTTAGCCAGTTTTGATGGAGTGTTTCCCTATTCCATTGACATCCTTGTTTTCAACGAGTACGAGAGTTTCATTGTTGCAGAAGGAAGCGGCCTCCTAATGGCTGCCTATGCTTTGGGGCCAAAATCTGTGGATTTCGATAAAGTATGGGGTAACCTACAGCCGTCCGTCATTGAAATCATGAATCTTCATCCGATGACTAAAAAGGATTGGGACGACAAGTTTCAGTTAGTGAATTTATTGTTATTCCTGCTGGTTTTTGTTTGAAATTTGCTGGTCTCTTCAAATTATAAGAAAGTAGTCATTTTGTTTCAATAGTGCCTCTGTCAGTTTTTTTTTCGTTTTGAATTATGGTTTTAAGTTTGTTATTATTCAATGCCTCCTAACGGTTTACCGCCTCATCGTGGCTGGGAGGTGTTCCTGGGTGTCTAGCTGCGATGTGCAGCGTGGGATTCATTCCTCTGCCAGGGTTTCCTAAGCTGAGAATGAGTTCAGCGTTTCCATCAGGAAGTCCAGCTAGAGGGAAACCAATGCCAAAATCCACCATCGCCCTGGTACCAAACTAGTCGCTTCTTGGCAAATCTCTGTGATTCACAAGAACGGCAACTGCTTGTGGTGATGACGACCTGGGGCAGAATTTGGCTAGGCCGATCTCGGGACTCCTGGGAACCACATTGATTAAACCAGCTAACCGCCGAAATAATGGAAATTAGGCCGGGGCCCGCACAGCTAGTGAAGGCGGGCCATCTAAGTATTCAAGTAGTTATTCAGTGATGCTGTGATGTTTGATGAAGTCGAATACATGAAGTACCCTTTAGAGATTGATTGACAAGGAACGCTTTTTACGGTATCATTATTCAGTAATCGCCACAGTACTTTTTGAGTCTTTTGTTTTATTCTTCGCAGGCTCCATAGTGTAACCTGTGATTCCACTTTGTTATTGTTTGTTCTAGTGACGTTTATGACATCTGTGTTGCAATACCAGAGCCTCTCAGTAGTCGTCTATATTCATCAATGAAGAGATGCATAGAGATGCATGTAAACAGCCTTTACGAAGTTCGTTTTGGGACAATTTCTCACATCCTTAGTCTTACTTCTTACTTTCATTTTTCTCCATTGTTCAAATTTTCTTTTTATTGAAGAAAATAGCCAAATCTCAATCAGATGAACTGCTGAATCAGTATTTTTCAATGTGGAAGGTGTTTTACAAAGGATCTAACTACGTTCACCGATTATTTGGGTATGCTTTTATGAGTATTAGTTGTTGGCTTAGAAGGTTATGTCAAGCTAATTGAATAGAAATAATTTTGTATTCTTTTGGTAGGTCACCTAGATGCTAACCATGTTATCGGTTACTTGTTTCAATTTGAGGTATCTCAACAACCAGTTTGTGAAATCAAAGCGATCTGTTGAGGGCGATGCCTACGCTAATTATGCGACCTTTCTACAAAAACCGGATGTAAAGGAGATTGGTTGTGTGGGTAGTAAAAATCTAGTTTGATGTTTTATGAACGGTTTCTTATACTATGTTCCAACATTCTTTGCTTGTTGAGGCGTGAAATGCTCTTTAGGGTCACTCTAACCACCATTGATTAGACCTAGGGTTTTCAGTTGGCTATGGATATATGGAAGGAACATCTAATTGAGCCAATTTTGGACAAGTTGGTGAACTTACTTTTAGCTGCTATAGGAGAAGATCGACTTGGTAATGTGCCACCCAATAAGGATGTCATTGCTGGTGTGATCTCTTCTTTTCTTCAGGTGTGAATTTAATCAGGTGGATATGCTGTTTAATATTCCTTTAGAAATATACAACACTTTAGATTGAAGAGTTCGAGTACTCCCCCAGTGAACCAATAGCACTCGGTGTAAAACTTAACTATAGAGAACCTCCCAAGGAATTCTATCAGAAGGCTTTTGAGTCAAGGTTAGCTGAACAAGAAGTAGTTATAAGCAAGGCCCGTGCATATTTTATTTTTTTCTTATTGCGTTTATTTCTGTTATGTTGCTCGGTTTTAGATTTTTGGCAGCCACTGAGGAATACTATTCGGGTCTGGCGCAAAAGCTGCTGAGTGACCTGACGTGTAGCAAATACATGGAAGCTGTAAGTATTGTGAAACTGCTAACTTAAAGCTTAAAACGAAGATCAAGACTTTGGCGTTGATCAATTTGTGAGGGACACGCCACTCACTGGACCTCATCGGCACCGTGAGAGCTGAATACATAAATCCCAGGATCGACTTTCGATTAACCTCGGCATTTGAATATGAATGTGTCGTTTTCTTGTTTAGCAATCGCAAGGTTTTTAAAGAGCATACATTTACTTCCATAGAAAAACAGTACAACACTAGCTGACGTTTCGGCAGTATCGCCTTCTTCAGAGTCTGCAAGGGTATACTGGTATACAATCTACTAGGCCAAACACTTCAATAACACTTGCAAAAATAAAACGATGCTTAAGAAGGGCAGGCCTAGAGGAATCGGTAGCGATAGTTGAAATACCACCGGCTACTCTACGTCGCCAATTAGTTCGCAACCGCCTGTATGACCGTCTGTGTGAAACAACAAATTGCGTAATTTGCCCTTACGGCAGGGACGGTGATTGCATGAGTTCAGGTACGTTATACCTGATCTCTTGTAATAATTGCGGAGATGAATATATTGGCGAAACGGGCAGACCTTTGTGTATCCGTATAAAAGAACACCTAGATGGCAAACGAAAACTAAGACGAAGCACCCCACTAGGCACGCATAGGATACAAAAGCATAGCGGAGACGATTTTGAAGTAAAAGTCAATATCCTTGCACAGGAAACTAAAACACCAGCGCGAAAACTTCTTGAGGCTTTTTGGATAAATGCCAAAAACCCTACAATGAATAGCAGGGGTGAATCTCCGGAGGTCATACGCGACCTGATTTCCGTATGTTCGCATCGATTTTTGATGTGGGATGGTGCAGTCGTCAACCACATGCGACATTAATCAGCTGTTCTAAACTTCCTCATTGGAAGTCACGAAAAAGCGGTGGGTTTTTTCAGGAAGTTGTTGATTATGTAATTGCCGGAGAGTTCCTCGTCTTTTTATAAGTGTTATTGAATTATTGAAGTGTTTGGCCTAATAGATTGTATATCAGTATACCCTTCCAGGCTCTGAAGAAGGCGATACCGCCGAAACGTCAGCTAGTGTTGTACTGTATTGTGTTTTTCTGTGGAAGTAAATGTATGCTGTTTAAAAACCTTGCGATTGCTGAATACATATTTGGTCTATACGATCACTTGAGTTGTCTTACCGACGGATCAAGTTAGCGCTTCTATCCTCCCAAAAAAATCTGGTACCAGTTTACCGACCTGGGACCGATAGAGAAGCGTGTTGAGTCAGGAGCGCTTAACTAACGGCTATCTGTTTAATGTAGGACACCTCTAACCACTGCGTTACACGCCATCCTTGTACTATTCATTTAAAGAGATCATTTTTGTGGTGACGGTGTATAGACAGCCATTTACTTACCTTAATTTAAATTAACAATGTGTTTACAGGTCATTGAAGCGTTAGAAGCAGAAGAGCGCCGTTCCGCGACGTACGTCAGTCAGTCCAGTGTGTCGAAGGTGCATTGGAATTTACATGCACATTTGCTTTGTTTATATTTGATCCATTTTTTAAAATAGTTTTCTGCTATAGCTTTACATTTCCCTTTTATCTTAGGTCATCCGTTTATGTCAAGATGTGATGATTAATGCGCATAAGGATAAACTGCATGCAGTCTGTCATGAATTAATAACGAATGAAGAGCGAAAAGGTTCGTTTGATTTACCTGGTTTCGCATGTTAAAGTTTTTGCATTCTTATATTTTTATCTACTCCAATAGTACTAGTAGGCTTGTCGTTCGTGAAGCCTCTCAGAATGCGTTTGTCTTCATAGAAACTTATATAATAGATTTGCGCAACATGTATCGGTTGCTGAAGCCGATACCTTCTGGTTTACTCGTAATGGCTAAAGAGTTCGAGGATTACGTTCGAAAAAAGGGACTTGATTTGATTTCCACTATCTCTGGAGACAATATTCCTCAACAGTTCGTGGATAATGTTCTTAAAGTTAGTTTCCCTTGTTGAGTTACCTAATTTGTTGCTACGATTTTGGATATCTTCAATTGGTTCTTCAAGGTCCATGAAAAATTTCATGCGATGAAGACAGAAGTCTTCATGGATGATGGCGACTTTGCCGGAGCATTAGATAAGGTATTTCTATTGATGTCGTCCTTATTGGTTTCTGCTACTTCTGCCTTTTTTGATGAATTTAAGGCTTTAGTGTAAATCTTGATGTCTACAGTTCTTGTCGCCTGTCACAGGGTTTTTTTTTAAATGTTATACTTTTATTTACGTCTTACTGCAGGCTCTTCAAAGTGTTGTGAATGTTAAAGAAGGTAGTGGGCCACCTCGCGCTAGTGAACGAGTAAGTACATCTTCCACCGTTTTTATTTGAAGCTTTTATTATATGTGTTGTAATTTCAAATAGCTCACTCAATCTTCGAGTTAACCATAGTTATGATCGCAATGTGTCTAATTTGACGATGATGAGTTTCTAGGTAATCGAACTATGAATTTTGGTATTTTCGTAAAGAAACTGACTTTCAGTTGGCTCGATACACGGATAACTTGTTGCGAAAATCTGCAAAGGGAATGAATGAATTGGAAGTGGATCAGCAGTTGAGCAAGGCAATTGTAATATTTAGGTACATTGAGGACAAAGACGTGTTTCAGAAGGTAAGTATTGCTACCTTCATTTGTTGCAGAATTATGCTTTCTGAAGTGCTGTAAATTACTCATGTTTCCTTTTTTTTTTTTGAATAACTGATGTCCAGGCGCCAAGCATGACCTAGAGTGTACACACATTTTGAAATAAAATTTTTGAGTTAAGTATATTTCTTGTCATTGTATTGCAACATATGGATGCTCTACGCAAAACCAAAGATGCGCAGGGAGAAATATTTTTCTTTTCAACCCATCCTTTTCAGTACTATTCGAAAATGTTGGCGTCGCGCCTCATCATGGGTTTTTCGGTGGCGATGGACGCCGAGGAAGCGATGATCAACAAGTTGAAGGTTTATTGCTTTCTATATAATTAATGTTTTGTCTTATGTTTCGCATATTGTTACTATTCTTCCACAAAAAAGTTTGAATAGTTCTGTGTTATTTACACTTTGCAGCAAGCTTGTGGGTACGAGTTTACCAGCAAACTGTCGCGAATGTTCACGGATATCGGACTCAGTAGCGAATTGGCCGACAAATTCAATAAGGTTTCGCTATTTTCTATATTAAATGACTTACAGAAAGCATTGCTGGGATTACTTGCTATTTCATTATTGTGATTTTTGTAGCATCTCGAAAGTGCCCACACTTCCGTGAATGTGTCTATGCAGCCACTAGTCTTGCAAGCTGGTTCGTGGCCACTCTCTGTACCTCAAGGTCTGTTTGTATTATTTTTAATGTTTTCCTTGCGTTATTTGAAAATAATTATTGTTTTAAAGAATCCCTCCCAACGGTTTATAGCCTCATCGTGAATGGGAGGTGTTCCTCGGTGTCGGGTTCCGACGTACTGCCGAGGATTCATTCCTCTGGCAGGGTCTCCCAAGCTGGGAAGGAGTTCGGCATTTCCATCAGTAAGCCTAGCTAAGAGTAAACCAGTACAAGGATCCACCATCGTCGTGGTATCAAAGTCGCATGGTGGCAAATCTCCCTCTGATCCACAAGGGCTGCGACTGCTTGTGGTGGTGAAGACTTAGGGCAGACTTTGGTCAGACTAACCTCAAGAATCCAGGGAACCACAATGTCTTAACCAGCAAATCTCCGAAAAATGGAGATTGTGCTGCGCCCCGCACAGCCACTGAGCACGGTCAATTCAAGTATCGAGTACTGAAGGATCTCTTGATTTTAATTTTTGATTTTTTGCGTTTGAAATAAGTATTTAAATTTCATTTTTTCATTTTTATTTTCTAAAATAATTGTCTTATGAATTCTAAAACTTAGAGACATCGTTCATCTCGTATTATGTTTACAAGAATAAGCTGAAATGTCACAAATCTTTAGTTGGAGCGAGCAATGGAGTCTCAGATACCATCTCTTTCATCTTACCATTGATTTTACAACCATCAATAGCGGAATTCGAGAAATACTATATCGGTGCTCACAATGGCAGGAAACTTACTTGGCTCTTCAATATGTCACATGGTTTGTCTATCCATTATCACTTCGTACTTCAGCATAAATAACAACGTTTTACAGGCGAGCTACGGTTAACGTATTTGGACAAACCGTACCTAGTATCCATGACTGTTTATCAAATGGCCATACTTTTGTGCTTTCAGGAGAGGGATTCTATTGTTGTGGGTATCCTCCATTTATATTTTCCAGTATTTAGGAGCAGTATCTTCATTTCTTTTTCGGCATTTCGTATCACTGATTTTTAAGAAGCGAAAATCTTTTCAATTTCTTTTACTCAACAATTTTCATAGTTCAGCTCTCCGACATATCAGCAGAGACTGGAATTACTGGGGACACATTACTTCGCAATGTTCGTTCTATCATCGACGCAAATATACTTGTCACCACCAATAAAGTTAGTTATATATTGCTTGTATAAAGATACTACTCCCTTGAGTAGAATTAGATAAAAGACAGCTTTCAAATTAGAAATTAGAAGAGCAATCCATCACCATACTAAACAACAAGGAGGAGATGTATTTAATTTACGAATAGTTACTTAGATACGGGGGCGGGGATAACGGAGTGATTGATTAGTGGTGGTTCGATCAGGAAGTAAAGGCGCTACTTCGTTCCCGCTCTAATATCCTCCTCCAGTCCACTTGGGAAGGCGGGTTGTCTTCAATATTGCAAACAGAATTGAATGGAGTAGCGTTCCAAGACGTCCATAAAGAAGACGAAGTCCTCAAGCATCAGCTGAAGCAACACGCAAAATGATTGGAGACCATTGTGGATGATAGGTACGAGCAAACGAGTCGAATGCAAGAAGTGCTTGCGTCTGCACAGCAGATGTTGTGACGGACCATGTAAAATTAAACAAAGGTTTTTGCAAAAAAAAAACTTGGATACATGGTTGATTGGTTGAGAGCTTTGGACGTGTTCACCCGTCTATTGGGTATGTGACTCCACAGTATACATGGTGGTTAGCGAAATCCTTGAATTGATTCAGGTGTTAAAATATCTGTCGGCTGGAAAGGATAGCACTAAGGGGACTCCATTGGATCGAGTTGTTAAGCGCTGAGTGAATGACAGTTCGGGCTACAGGTGACAATGTGTGGTCTCGGAAAAACATCAGTTTTTTTTCTATCGCGCTATAGCTTTTTCGACGACTTGATTTTCTTCTTGTTTGTTCATAGTGTTGTGAAATTTCCCCATGAACCTCCCTCACATAGGGATTTCCTGCTGGTCAGTCGTGACGAAACGTGAAGGATCTCCCGATTACGGATAAGGGGGTTAATCATGGAACAAAAGCGTTTTTATACTTCCCTGAGATTTAGTTAGATGAAGGTGATGGACTCCCTGTTTTTTGCTGCGCCGATTTTACACATAACGTCTGTGACTACAGAGACGTATTCATGTCTGTGCGCTTAGGTATATTCTCGTTTATACGGATTTTATTCTACGAGTCAGTTTGGCCAAAAGTCTACAATCGAGTGACAGGGAAGTATATGTATGGCGGTTAGGAATCGCCTTCAACAAATAAACTCTATGTCCACTCTGTGAGAGACTGGCAATGCTATCCGTGAGTATACTCAGCCCCATGGTTCGGAGCTCGGTAAGCTATACGTGGGTATTAAGTACTAAACACAGTGAAATAAGTGCGCCTCGTTTTCCTTACCCCGAAAGAACCCCAATGCCGCAGCGTTGGTTAGGATGAATACACGGAGGCCACTAGAATTTCAGGGATATTCTAGGATGTCTAAATTGCAAAAGGATAGGGTGACATTTTCTACCCACAATACACGCTTCCTTGAATCTGGGCCTTCCATACAGAACCTGATTATCCAGACGAGAAGAATAAGGTACGACTTCATCCGATTGGCTGAGACTAGAACCGGCCATCCATTTACCCCGTATATGACATCGGAGAAGGACTGTTCCTCGGAAAATGCGGCAGCAGAAGAGTCGGCAACATCAGCGTTCTCTTCAACACGAGTTTGGCCATGAACATTGATTCATTCGAACAACGAACAATTCGAATCGGACGCTTGCGGTTGAAGAGGTGTGGATCAGTACTGGCTTTGACAGTCTTCGTCGTTTGCGCACCGATATCAAGCTATGACGAAGAAGTCAAAGCCTTTTGTATAGACTTGGAGAAGTTTTACAGAGAAGATCATGCGTTCTTCAAGGTTGGAGATTTTAAAGCGAAGACTGTATTCAAAAGAACGAGTGAATAAGGTCACATTGGGACACATGGATTAGAATAGAACTAGCAGGATGAGTGGTTGTCTAAGTTTATCGTGATGACGAAGACCATTCATAGCAACTCGCAATTCAAGAAGCCCCACTTTTAACGCTAGACGTGGTAGTTTCCCAGGAGAGGGTACTATAACTAAGTAGACCACATTACACTGAATCGAACGTTTTGCCTAACCATTGTCGCTGTTATACTGTCGCCTCCGCCTCCTTTGTACGAGATTCCATTTGTCGCGGAAGGGAGAAAGCAGCTAACTCCAAAAAACGAAATCCGAAAGCAATGAGAAACTGAGATTTATTCAGCTGATTAATCAGCTCTTGGGGAGATGCTGTTATTGACGACAATGGCGGATAACACGATTGGCTTTTTCATCACCTTCACGTTAGCGCTATAAAAGGTAAGAGTACGAAAGTCACTAAGACACAACAGTCGCTAGAAACACATATGCAAGTGTGGGATCGCATGGGCTGATGGCAAGCTCATGTCCTAATTTGCAGAACAGTGCAAAAGGGCGATAAAGGAAAGTTTTGAAAAGAGAAGAGCAACAGTTGTGGTCGAAGTTGTAGAGGGTGGAGGAAGCTTATGCAAAGCCCACGAAAGCTTTATCAATTGCAAAACCATGATGATTACACTCTGATGCCGAGACAAAATAGTTCCTGCTTTCAGAAAGGCAATGAGGAAAATCATTTGTGACTATTCGGATCTCTTCAGTAGCCACGTCCTCCTGCCCTCTTATGAAATGAAGGAGAATGGATATGTCGTACCACCGGTTCTCAATTCCGTGATCAGAGATACTGTCTTGTCAGTGGGTAATCGAACGACACCTGGTTGGCACAGACTTGAACACTTTAAGAATCTTCTACCAGTCCTCATCAAAACGCTGGGCTGGCTCCTTACACGTTACTTGTCAGAATGCAAAATTCAGTGTAAGACCAGCAAGACCGTGCTAATGTTCAAGAAGGGTGATTACCACGACATGGATATTCATCACAGTCTGCTTTCTTACTGTCGTCTACGTACTTTTCATTCGAGCAATCATAAAAGGCATTGACAAAACACTAGACGACGGAGAGTCACGGCAGCAGACAGGATTTCGAAAAGGATTCAAGACGATGGACCACATCTAGACGATAACAAAACTCATTGAAGTATCGCGGGAGTACAAAAGACCCATCTGTCTCACCTTCATCGATTAAAGAAGGCATTTGACTCAATTGAGATAGAAGCAGTCATGGAAGCCCTTGATGGTCAGGGATTCCCTACTCAGTACATAAAGATTCTTCATGAGCTCTACAGAAATTTCACAACCAAGATATTACCATCCTACAACGATGTTAACATCGACGTCAAAAGAGGGGTGATTCAAGGCGATACCATCTCGCCGAAATAATTTGCCACCAACCTCGGGAACATGCGAACATCGGGATGGGAAAACGTGGGAGCGGAAATCCATGCTCGGCAATTACACCATCTTCGTTTTGCTGATGACGTCGTTCTTGTGGCAGCAAGCATTAGCCAGACGTAACAAATGCTTACTAACTTTGATAACGTCTGTAGTTAGATTGGCCCTCATATAAATCACACAGAAACGGTATTCATGAAGAACGGATTGTTTTATGTGCCCCATTCTCGCCGAAATGAATGGATATCTCCGAACGCCTCAGTTATGTCTATTTAAATTGGGAAATCAACATGATTAACGACTTAAATCCAGAGTTGAGCAGGAAGTAGCGAATGCCCTGGGAAACATTTAAGATTGTCGAGGATATGGTGAGGAGAACAGTGATCACCCGACATTGTGCCCACTTTTTCGACTCCACGATTCTTGCCTTAACCTATGCATCAGAAACCTAGTCCCTAGGTGTGCCATATGAAAGACTACTCTACAGTGTAGAAGGTACAGACGAAGGTACGGTCATACGAGTTTCTTGTATCATGTAAGTGATAGAAGGGATCTGTAGCTCCGACCTATGTCAACGGTCAAAAATCAAAAGCGGCGTTCTACACGCCAAGTTGTTGAGGATTAAGTGGGCTAGACACGTGATACGTTTGAACGCAATGGACAACGGCTGTTTGCGAATGGATTTCTCGGGATGTCAAACGCATACGTGATAGACCACTGATTCGATGGTGAAAGTTCTTCAAGGGAACCCTAGAGGAAAGGCATGGTGCTGTACGAGCTCCCAGAGCGAACAGAGCCCATTGGGCTACTCTTACTTGCATAAGGGTGACGTGAAAAGATTACCGGTTGCGATCGAGTCACTCGACAATCATTGGGATTAAGAGTTCTAGTGGTGATACTATATTATTTTTCCTTGTGGATTGAGATGTATGCGGATAGTTCGTTGTTTTCAGCTTCTAGGAGATCGACTGTTACAATGCTTGGGCTTGCTGCATCGCTTTAGTTTCAGGTGAAATCTCAGTTGAAAGACCGGGTTGCTATTTTAACGGCGTGGATATTAGGCCTTATACGGAGGATGTGTAGAACGGATGCGCGGCGTTTAGCGTGACTGCTACATTGGAATACGAGCAGTTTTTTTGCAAATTTTCTGGTTTTTTTTTGACACTAAAAATATTTTTCCTTAACTAGAGGATTTAAGATTTTATGGACATAACATAATTGCGGGAAAGACTGCTGTGTTGTTTTAGGGGTATGGATGTGCACTACTACTTAGTATGTGTTACTGTGGTCCATATTGCAAATGCATTACTGTCGGCATTTAGAAGTATTTTACAGTTTATATCGAGTCTTTTTCGATATTTTCAAACTCATACATTCTATAGAATAACCATAGCGATTAGAATAAGTAAGAATAAACTAGTGGTCAAATCACATGTCAAAAGGTTTTCCAAAAATGGTACTTTGCAAACCGTTAAGCGTAAAAAATGGTTGTTTTGGTCTTACCGTTCCTATTTCGGTCTCCCTACGAGCAGCTATTGAATGAATGTACACAGAGCGATAAATAGATCTGGTACCCACTGAACTGAAAATGGACTCTATAGTTTCAGTACTGGACGTTATGGAGTATTGACCACATAAAATTCGGCGTATTCTGTATGGCCACCAACGGGATTTATGTTTCAAAAGGATTTCTAGAACCTTATAATGAGATTTTTTTCATGGTGGTAGTAATCTCTCTAATACGCTTGCCCTTAACTAGGTGGTATAGAGTAGGTGGGTTACTGTTGTTCTAAAAATAAAACGAACTTCGGTTTCTAGCAAATGTATAATTGCTATCATTTCCGGTGTGTTGTGACTTATAAGCCTACCTTGTTAAGTGTCATACGTATTTGTTTCAGGAGTTGGATGATTCTTCGGAATTGTCCCTAAACAAAACATTGACTTGTAAGCGACTCCGTTTTCGTCTTGCAACTCCTCAAGTGGTCAAACACACCGAGAAAGAAGCCGAATCCGTCTGCACTACGGTAGAAGATCTATTTCCTTCTTTTTTCTTTCGTAAATTTTTCTTTTTATTGTTTGAAGATTGAGGAGAAAGTGTTAACTCCATGTGCTAATTTCTTTAGGTGACACACGACCGTAAATATTACATGGAATGCGCGATTGTACGAATAATGAAAACTCGAAAAGTTCTAAAACATAGTGCACTGGTCAATGAGGTGAAGTTTCCTGCATGTATGTCTAGTTTATTGTAGGCTATTTCTTGCGACATCTCCATCTTATTAGTGAGGAGTGCTAGAGAATTGTGGTCGTTCTTTTCTACTTTCGTGTGTTGAAATAGAAATTAAGATTCCAGGTGTAACAAAAAGCAGAGAATGGTTCTACTATCCATGATATTTTGTTTAGGTCATAGAGCAGACCAGAACCAGATTCACTCCTGATGTAGCTTTCATTAAGAAGAGCATCGAAGACCTTATAGAAAAGCTGTATATCCAACGAACGGATCAGAATGATGAATATCAGTATCTTGCCTAGATAAATGGAAGATTGGATGATTGGAATTCGTACGTGTAAAGCTATTTTTTGAGTATGTGTTCATAAAATTAGTGGGTTACAGTTCGATTTTAGAAAAATGTCTGATTGCTTACTTGGCGGTTTTAGAAATACTGAGGTGCTCTTTCATCGTATCTTGTTCATTTACATAAATATTTGTATATTTGTAATAAATAGACACAATGTTGACCGTATGGAACATTGATGTATTTCTTATAGTGTAAATATAAATTGCGCACTGTCCGGTCCAATAGTCGTTGACTTAATTAGGGTAAGGAATAGATTTCTGTGCTAATATTCTGGCTGTATTTACGATAGAAGTACAAATAATGCTATTGTCTTGTCGCTTACAAGTGCCTTGTTCGGTTATAATGGTACCAAGCTTTGCGCTATTCCGTTGCACAAATTGCGTGTACTATAGCCGAACAAAAGTTATTTAGTCAGGAAAGTGCTATGTATACCTCATACATGGAATAAATATTAATTTTTGGGAGCTTGTTTGGAAGATGGGTTTCGAATCGAAGCCGAACTTTCTGGACGCGTTTTTGGATAGTCATTACTGTGTGGTCATTATGTTCTCTGCTTCACGTCTTGCTCTTTATTTAATACATCATTGTCCGTTTTGTGCTTAGAATCTCTGCAGCCGAAGTTCATTAATAGAAAAGTTCCACAGATTGCTTACTTGGATACTTGGATGGTCCATCTTTAGTCATTCTGCGGGCTCCAGCATAATTTCCATTCTATGAGTTCTGCGGGTTTAACTATTGTGGCTCCCTGGAGTCCTGAACTCGGTCTAGCCAGAGTTTCCCCGGGTTACCACATGCAGTAGCCGCCTTGTGGATCAGAGGTGGATTTACCACCATGAAACTAGTTTGATACCAGGACGGTGGTTGATCCTAGTACTGGTTTTCTCCTAGCTGAACTTCCTGTTGGAAACGCGGTCCCACAGATTCCTACTAATCAAAAATTCAATTTAATCCAAGATTTAATATGACCATGATGAACCATTTCCAAACAGCATTACTAAATTAAGGGTATTTGTTGGTATTCTATGATGTCACTTGGTGTTCTCCATGATTTAGAAAGTGCGGAACTCTTCCTAGAGTTCTTCGTAGTTCAAATATGATACCAACGCATGTTGTAAGATTAGTGTACGATCATGGAATTATTGATCGAATCTAGTGGAAGATCGGTTGGTTCGATTTAATCACACGTAAGCCATTCCATTCGCTTGTTTACACATCAACCAACGATCGGGGTGGCGTCAGACAAAGGCAAAATCGATTTGATTAGTTCAAGCTTTATGCACGTAAAACTAAACTAATACCCCACACATGTTATCATGAGTTCTTATGTCATTAAAAACCTTTGCAAACCTTACAGAGGCTCAATACGGCCACTGTTCTTAGCAGTCTAGTAATCTACGAATGCATTCCCACACATGATCTACTCCGAACCTCAGCGTTGTCTACCTTTATATAAAAATGGATCACTATAAAAAAGGGTAAAGCTCTCGGCGTTGATCAATCCCTGAGAAATGCGCCATGAATCATCCGACTTTATTAAGCATCGCTGGAGGTGATTGAATGCATATCTGGTCTTTACAATAACTCTCTGTAGCCTACCGATGTATCGAGCCAGTCTGGTACCAATTTGCCGACCCCGAAGGGATGGAAGGCTTGGTGAGCCTGGAGCGCTGGGATCGGTCCAATCTGTGTCGTAGGGCGCCTCCAACCACTGCGCCACACGCGTCGTCCTCGATCACTAGATTAGGTAGTAAGAAAAAACTTTTCACAAATGAAAGAAAAAAGTGGAAGCCCAACCTGGTTCTAAGATTCTCGTAATAGTGGTGTATTCGCGCTCTTCACATTTTCTACTACGACCGTAATTACGGGCATGTCGTATTCGCCGCCTACTCCGGACGATTCTGCTGTTTATTCTTAAATTACATCCGGCTTCTAATGGAAACTTGTGAAATTTCTATGCTGTTTCTTTTGTCATTTTTTCTACAGTATTTTTAGCTCAATGTTTGTATTTTAGGTCATATTTAACACGACCATTCGACGTAATTTCTCCACTTTGTGGTTTCTTTGTAGATAAATGTAGGTAGACCATCATCTGCATGCTTTGCTTAGTTCATTTCAATTTATTTGTAAGTTTCATATTGGTTCGTTATATTTATATTCATAAATTACCAAGTAGTTAAGTATGGGTCTGTGTGACGCAGTAGTCGGAGGCACCCTGCAACACACGCGAGGGATCGATCCCCGCGCCCGTGGTCCACCAAACGTTCTATCCCTCTGGGGTCGACAATTCGGTATCAGACTTGTCTAGAATGATAGCAGCACTAACTCAATACATCGCTAGGCCACTGCGAGTTAGTATAAGGGCCAGATATGCGTTTAATCACCTCCTACGATGCTTAATGAAGTGGAACGTATGACGCATCCCTCAGGGATTGATCAACACCGAGAGATTTATCCTTCTTATTCTTTAAGTTGCGAAAATGGAAATCCTATATTTTTAATCCAAAGTATTCTGTATCACTACAGATCTGATTCAAAGCGATGTGCCAAATGTCTTGTTCAAGCCAATATCATTAAATTAACTGAATAGTTCGCGAATGATAAGTTAACGGATCAGTTTATTGTCACGTTGATCACCTAGGCAACTTAATTAGGTGCTTAAATGGCACGCCTTCACTGGTATTGCAGACTTCTTGCAGTGGTCCATTGTGGTGGTTTGAGTCGAGGGTGGTGAAGTGTGCGAGTCTGATACCGTAATCCTGAAATAGTTCCCTACTACGAATGCCAGCGCTTGACTTTGACCACAAACACGTTCGCTGATCGTTTAGGTGGTCTTCCAAACGGGCGCTAGCCTTCACTTTGTGACTACCCTACTGCACTTTTCGTTTATTTGTCAGTTGTTCTCATCATTATGTGATTGACCCATCTGATCTTTGCTGTCCATGGATATTCTCCTGGATCTCGAACATGGAATAGATTTCAACGATCTGAATGGCGCATTTCGACTAGGCGTTCTATGTGTCGGTTATATTTAGCAGGACGTCGTTCAAACCCTCTCTAGGTAGTCCGCAGAATCTCCACGCTCAGCAGGGTGATGGAGAGAATGGTTGAGTTGAATAGGTAATTGCGGAATTTCCTGAGAGATTCAAATACGGACAGTGGTGCTGTTCTTCTGTCTAGCTCCTCCTTCACGTTGTTCTGCATGTTCATTGAACTTCGATAGGACACGTACATGGTGGCCTCTGCAATCAGGAACCATCCAGTTTTCTCTGTTCGCCTTCGCATGTGAAAATTAAGCCGTAGATCACCAGGAAGTGAAGCAGTTGCCAACAAGTTATCGCTAAGGTTTACTAGTTTCATACCAGCACTTCATAGTGGTGTATTGTTCTTGCTTTCCTTATTTTTCATTGCCAATGCCTTTGGGACGGAATCATACTTAAACATCTGTTATATGTCCTCATATTTTTAAAGTCATCAAGAAGCCGATTCTAAAGATTTTTTGTGTTCAGTTAGAAATGCTATGTTCCTTATTTTTCACTGTTCTTTCTGGTTTGGATTGTTTTTAAACAAATCCGATGTTCAGGGAGAAATAGAAGGTCAATGCAAGTCGCTCAGTGGTGCAACACATGAGCCCCCCAGAAAGGGTAGTCGCGGGTTCGAATCTGGGTTGGGATCCCAGTTTTGCAGATACCTCGGCCTTATAGTGGTTAAATTCAGTGTTGTCGGAAAGTGAGGGTGAATTTTTTATTTTTCATATATTAGCAGCACTTTGGGGACACAACCATGTCTTCTTCAACGTAATCACGATTTATTTTTGTTTTAATTATTAAAGTTTGATGCGTGCTGATGCGTATTTGTTTCAAACTAAGTGGTGCGTTTTTGTTACTGCCCTTGCATTGAAATCAACACACATCAGTCATTACACGTTACGTTGGTGTTCGTCGACTGTCGTTTTCAGCAATGACTTTAGCCCGTCGATATTCGCTTCCAGCGACGGGCGTTCTGTCCTTTTTTTCCTATCTGGAACATCAGATAGTGGACGATGTTCGGCGAGGGAATACGACCACTGTTGCTCTCGTTCTGTTCGTCGGTTACGAGTGGTCGAGGTAATTTCGTAGCAAAGATGTTCAGTTTTTTTGGAGGAAAGCATGATTGCGATTCGACCTATGCGTCACCGAGGCGTTGTTTTTAGGAGGCTCTCTGCAAATCATGTAGTTCCTTCGTATTTAGTCACATTCGTGGACTACATCGTATGGACAATATGTTTAAAGATCGATTCTTTCAAGCTTCTTTGTTGGCCAAGGTTTAAATGACTATAAAAAAAATACGCTAGACTGTGGTTTGCCTCTTTCAAGGCGTTTTCATATTTGTTTGTGTCACCTTATTCTTCATAGCCTCTATCATTTGCTTTTCCACACATCGAATTTGTAGTAATGTTGAGTGGAACATAAGCGATGTGCATTTTTATTTGAGGTAAGTGGAGACTTTTACCTTATGTCAACAGTTAACCTTTTACAGCTATAAATGAAAATTTAGACCTTCTCGAAACCAGTTTGCTTCTCAAGAAGCAACATTTTCGGCAACCACTGACGAAGTGACGTGATAAAGGGTAAAGGATAAAGCTTTCGGCGTTGACCAAATCCCAGAGTGATGCGCTGTGCATTCGACTTTGTCAAGCATCGTTGGAAGTGATTGAATGCATAATTTGACCTTTGCGATGACTCGCGGTGGCCTATCGATGTATCACACCAGTGATGGTATCCTCCCAGACAAGTTTGGTACCAATTGACCGACCTCAGAGGGATGGAAGGCTTGGTGGTTAGAGGAGCGCGGATCGATCGCGAATGTATTGTAGGGCGCCTCCGACCACTGCGCTACACGCCGCTCTTAAAGTTTTATCTTTTGGTGCTTTCAATTATAATTTCGCAGGATAGCTTGAAGTCTGTCCTTTTATATTTCTCATTGTACTTTTGTTTTAGTGCTTTTCCTTCATTTTCGGATCTCATTCATTGTCGTCTTCCCACTTTCTCACATTACAGTTGATCTTTTCGTTAGTTGTTGTCGATATAACTAGTTTGTTTTAGTGTCCTTGACATTTCAGAATTTTTCCAACTTCGCGGCAACTTCCATTACCGATCATTGGGGTGCAGAAACCTGCATTAGGTATGTTTTATTCTTTAGTATTCTTTCAAGCTTTTAACTGCTATGTTTATTCTGTAAATGAATGAAAACCAATGTCACTATGACTACCAGGCAGGTCCAACATCCCTTCCAATGCGTTCCAACCTATCCAACTGTACAACTTAAATGTTTGTCTGAGAGATGTCTTTTCTCTGTAGTCTTTGGCATCGTTTTGATTGCTATTGGGTTACTGGTAAAATTCATCTCGATTTCATTCTCTTCTCGAAAGTTCGTGTTTTTTCGAAATATTTGCTCGGAAATGTATCAGTACAATCACAGTTGAATTCTCATACGCCGAAAAAGAGAAGAAAAAGTCGAAAAGATTTTTTATGAGTTATTACGAGTAGAGAACAGTTTCTTACGATCCTTTCCTGGTAGTGGATTCATGTTAGACAAGCTATCGATGGAAGAAAAAGTGCGGTAAAAAAAACCTCCGAAAACTACTGAGCAGGCCTAACACCATTTCGTGTCTCGTGGTCGTCGATGTATTGACGTGGAATGTTCCCGTCATTCTGTGCGATGACTTTCTGTCATCTTCCTGGTGCATGTATGGTCTTGTCTTTATATAACTAATGGAGTCTTTAGGTAAGGAAATGATCTACTTTTCTTGTGCGGGCATTGAGTGGAGTTTATTTAATCTCATTAAAACAGTTTACTAAATACCTGAATATAATAAAATCAGAGGTTACATTGTCTAATAAATAAAGTGGAAGAACCAAAAATTGTGTGAGGCCCGTATATCATCTTGTATATTTTACCGGAACATTTCCACCACTTAGTACTGGAATCGTATTTATCTGGCGCATATCATACTTTGAATTTACGATGATTTCTTTGTTTTCCGGAAGTAAATAAGAGTGCGTGATCAGCTTAATACAGGGCATTTACTTGGATGCTTGGATGGCCCGTCACCACTGCTTGTGCGCGGCGTAGATTCTTACCATGACTTGCGGTTGTCTACTGATGTATCAAGCCAGTGCTGCTCTCCTCCCAGACAAGTCTGGTACCAATTTACCGACCCCGGAGAAATGGAGCGCTTGGTTAGCCTAGGGCGCGGGGATCGATCCCATGCGTATTGCAGGGCGCCTTCGACCGCTGTGCTACACCCTCCTCCCCCTATATAAGGGTTAGTGGTTTTATATTCTATATGGAAGTCTGTTCTTCTCAACTACCATCCACAGAATATCCATAACTACTTAAGGCAGCTATTTTCAAAAGTTCTTAATATGTTGTTTAGGTGTCCATTTTCAATAACATATTCTTCAATAATTATTAAATCTTTCGCAGCCCTGTGTAATGGTGGCTGGCTCGCGAACGTGCATTCCGCTGTTTGGCGGTCTAATGCTGGGGGTTCTGCTTGCTTTGCTGTTGTTCTCATCAGACGATACACCCTCTTTAGGAAATGTAATGTGTCCCCTTCGAAGTGTTTCGCAGAAGCGGTAGGTCTATTTGCTACTTATAAATTTGTTAGTGCACTTCTCCTTTAACGAATACATCGCCTTCTTTTCGGTTACATTTCAAGAGCATCTAAATGCTTAGCTTTTTTGTAGATACGTTGATGTGAGTGAACATTGGGAAGTTCATCTGGATAATATGCCTTCTCCACCACCGAATCAGGACGCGACGCCAAAGGTCAACCTGGCCGTTATAGTTTTTTTGAGTTGTTTTCAAGCCACAATAGCTAAGTAGGACATTCGTAAGGACTATTCATGTTATTGTTTGCGCCAGCATTACCTACATTTTTGTTCAAAAACGGGGAAGAATATAGGGTGGTAAGGACTACGTTGTGAAAAACGAGGTAGAAAAAAAATGTGAGATGCAAAAAGCATATCCAAGATGTTATTGGTTAAAAATTATTGATCATTAATTATTATGCTGATTAAACTGTTTTAAATTACTATAATTGATTTTTGTTGCTTCTTGTCCGTTGTAGTCCATTCCACTGTTCTTTTCGTCCATCCGTTATCTGTTTTCTTATTATATTGGCGGCTCATCTGTGTTCCGTTATCGATTTATATTCTGAATCCTGAGATGGAGGAATATTGAATTAAAGAGGCTAGCGTGGAGTTTTGGGTTCGTCAGTTGGTTGGTGGTTTCTTTGAGAAACCCCAGTGCTGCCCGTGCCACTCTTCTGTCTAATTCCTCTTTTTTGCTGTTCACCGTGTTCACTTAATGTTTAGGATTCACGTACGAAGTGATTTCTATAATTAGGGAACCAAACAGTTCAATTTCTTAACCCGCGCACTATGGGTTCTCAATGAATCGGGTCTTCGTCCTATTTATGCGCGGTCTACTCTCCGGTTCGTTGAGTTCATTCAGCACCGTTTCTGCTTCACTGGCGCTTCTTGAGAAGATGACGGTCGTCGGCGAAGCGAATATTTGATAGAAATTTTCCACCATTGCGTATGCTCTTCTCGTCCCAATGGAGTGACTTCATGATCCACTGCAGTGCAGCACTAAACAGCTTTAGTGATATTTTGTCGCCTTGGTGAATCCCCTTTCCTTTGACATGGTGAGTGGTCGATGAAAAACTGTTTATTTTTGCTGCACTTCCTGTAGCAACCAGATAGTGTTCGTACATAGGATGAAGCCATCCCGGTAGACAAGCGCTGATAGGATCACGTTTGTTTCGACGCTAGTAAACGCCTTCTTTTGATCGTTAAAGGTTAGGATAAGCGGCAGATGATACTCTCGTCGGACTTCTATGACCCGTGATATAGTTTGGACGTAGTCCAGTCAGCAGAATTCGTGTTCGAATCCTTTCTTAACTTTTTATGCCTCGTATAAAACCTTTGATATGCGCAATAGGATAATCTTAGTGAACATGTAGAGCACACTTAACAAGAATATCGGATAATGGTTACGAAAATCTCTTCGTTCACCCTTCTTGGGTAGTGTAACCGTGAGTGAATTCATCCAATGGTTTGAGCTTCTCTCCTTCTGAAGATAAGATGTGCGAGCTGTGAGAAGTGTACGTAATTTGTAGCTTCCAGCTCTAAATAAATCGGCGGTGATATTATTAGGTCCTAGAGCTGCCCCCATCTTCATGCTTTCTATCGCAACTGGAACTTTAGAGGGTAGAATCCTCTGCGGTATTTGTCCAGCGGGGTTTTCGGGGTCTGAGACAGGGATTATGGAGCGGAAAAGATTGATACGGAACCTTTCCGCTATCAATTCCACATCTTGGCGAGAGGTAGTGATAGTCCAATCTCCATTTATTAGGGCAGATGGCGGAACATCTTAGTCGCAAGGTCCCGACACCTTTTCTTCAGACTGGATAGCTTTTAAGCTGTTTCCAATAACTTTTTCTGCTTATGCCGATGTAATTCTTCCTGCGAAGAGATGTTCTATAGCTAGCATTTATTATTTGCCGTGTTAGTTGTATTGCAATAGAATCAAGCTTCAGTTTCCTTCTCATTTCGAGCGACCCTTTGGTGCTATTGGTGCTGCGGTTTGAGCTTCCTGTTTAAACAACTGAGGCGAGTTCGACATAGGTTTTAAGTTCTTCGGCAAGCAGCTTGTAGGCCACGGTTGGTTTTTGTCTACCAGTCGTATATGAAAAGGATTTGATTGAAAAATGTCCTAATCACACACTGTGGTTCTTCTTCACCGATGGGAGGAGCTCTTTTGCAGTTTATGGTTGAATCGAATCTTTGCGGGGAGAACGCGGTGGTTAGATCCAACATGGAATCCTTGCACTGCAGAAGTGTCGGCGAGGCATTATCTTCTGTTCATGGGAATATGATCACTCTCCCCATAAGTCGTGCTGTTATGAGTTCCCCACATCCATCGGCGAGTTTCTCTATTCTTGAAAAATGGATTTCCATGGAAGGATACTTGCTGCGAGCAGGAGTGCTACAAGACGATTTTATTCTCGTTTGGTTATGCCATTCCTATTTTCTCTATCCTAGATTCATTTTCATTAGCCCTTCCTACTCCGGCATTGAAGTCTCCAACAACGAATTTATAGAACTTCTCGTTGCGGATCACTTCTAGCTGGTTGTAGAGGCCGTCCAGTTCGCTCTCATCAGCTGTACAAGTTGGTTAATAGCAGTTGATATTGTTTTCGGAGAATAGCCAAGAGGGATGGTAGGATTTCGTACGAGGTGACTAGATGGTAAACAGCCATGGTACGACGACACCTGCGCCTCCGACAATTCTTGGCGAAAATTTCCGTTCACGAATGGCAGTGGTTGTCATCTAATTGGCGTATGTTGGTCTTTCTACTTTTCGTTTCTTTTACGACTACCACATGGAATTTTGTGCGACCAGTGGCCTTAAGAGCGTAAGAGTCTGCCTCTTATGAGTTTATTCTGTCGTTATAGGTACAAAGTTAAAAGCAGTCTCTATGGCGTGTTTGCGTCCTGTGCAACTTGATATTTGATCTCCTCTCACCGGTCGTCTCACAGCCCGACGTCGTAGACGGGAGCACCCAGCGTGCGATGTACTGGAGATTTGCTGGTTTGGCCAATGCGTTTTCCTTTTGAGTCCCGAGGTGAACCTAGCGGAAGTCTTCTTCAGGTCATCACGACCCATGATGGTCGCCAGGCTTTGTCGATCAGAGGGATGTTTGCCACCATGCGACCGTTTAATACCAGCACGGAGGTGATTTCTGCTACTGGTTTACTTATATCTAGACTTCTTGATGGAAACGTCAGACTTCTCAGCTCGAGAAAACCTGCTGGAACGTGATACCCCTGGTGTACTTCGCAGTACGACACCCAGGAACACCTCTCAGCCACGACGTGACGATAAGGTTTTGGAAGGACATTTTGCACACTGTTATTTCCTTTGAATTCTTGACAAATTTGATTTGAAAATATACTAGACTGGGTCAAATTGTGATCTTATTTTTTGTACAACTATATAATGAATCTAAAAGGACCTCTTATAGGTGGTACGTGCTAGATTTGCCGCCACTGAACTGGGCATTCGAGAACGGCTTATGGTAGGAGTACTAGCTGAGTCGTCCTTAGCAGTGGCGATGAATGCGTCACTTGGACGACATGTTCCTAGAATCCATGTGTTTGCCGATGCAAGTCGCATAGATACTGATCTAGCACATCTCACCAATCTTAGTCCTTATAAGTATGTTTTCCACATATTTATTTTTGTTCTCTACAAGTTCCAGTGTTTTGCACCTCCTTAGAGTAGCTATTTAAGAAAGCTTTTAGGCCTAATGGTCAAAAATCGCATATTTTTGTTCTGGGACTGATATTCAACATGGTAAGAGAATCATTTGATCACTTATGTTTACTGTTTTTAAATTTGATTCATTCAAATCAATGATAATATATCGCTTCATTTTAAGTGAAGATAGGTCGAATTTGGTGAGTTTGTGTAGTCAAATAGAGCTATCGTGTGGTTGGTTTGCTGTCGTTTTTGTGATGGTCTTCTTTCATAGTTTCACCTGTGCTTTCATACTGAATTAATCCATCTATATTTAGACATTTCATGAGAACTTCGATTGGTTTTTATTAGTACGCGACTCCACATACATTAATCCATTCGAATTGAATCGCTTGATCAATAGCGTAAGTTATCTCTTTCAATTATTGTTATTTCTTTTTCGTATTCGAGAAAACTAACTTCATGTAAAAGTTGAGGGTCCAGTTTTTCCTGATGGTTTTTGTTCATATATCGTACTCTAATACTAATTCGCTGATGACTCCATTCGTGTTTTCTTGTACAGGTGAACTGGAATCAACGAGTTCTGATAGGTCAGCCTGCGTATGATGGCAGTGGCAGGTGTATGTTGGACGCCGGCGTGATTCTTAGCAATCCAGCAATGCAGAAATTAATTCAGTGGGTCGTAGTCCGAATTCCTAGTTTTTTGCTAAAACAAGTTGATAAGAATGGAAAGCCATGTAACTACTTTTTTCGTTCAGGTCTTCTGCCACACTTCGTATAATAGAAAACCTCTCCCTCTCTTCCCCCCCCCCCTCTCTTCCCCTCTTTCTTTCTCTCTCCCTATATATATATATATATATATATATATATATAGGGAGAGAGA